TCAAAACCGTCTGTAACAATTTGCTGAGTGTGCAACGTGGCATGTGTAGCGTAGCAGAACGGTATGCCACAAAGTACAGTAGTTGTGGCATGTTGTTTCCAGATGAAATTCTGCAGTCAGCCCTTTGGCTTCTCTGGCTCTCGCTGCCAAAACCTCCATCAAGCGTCTCCGCTCAGAGTGGGAATGCTGATCTGGCCGAACAGCAGATGACAGCAGCCAAAGTATGAGAGGCCTCAGAGCAGCCTGTCTCCTTTCTGCCATAACCACAGATTCCCAGCTGTACTAAAAAAAGAATGCACAACAAACAATTAGCCAGCGCTGATCGGTGTCTCTCACTTGATTGGTAAACCTTTAACGAGGAAGTGGTTTGCTAAGATAATTGAACCGTAAGTATCTTGGGCTGTCACCAGATCCCCAAACTAAAAATGGGGGTGAGGGGATGAAATGTGAGGCGAAAGTTGTAAAACTGTCGGGAACATTCTCTTTACTGCTCTTACAGGGCTTAATTAATGCTGCTGCAGCACACGTAACGGCGCCCGCGAGGACCCTAACACCCGCAATAATACTGAAAGTCAAAAAATCTAACTTCCTTTTAGTAGGTTCAGCTGGGTTTTTATGTGAGGGTCTGATGATTGAGCCAACAGACGATTATTGTAATGACCTTTATGAACATCGTTAACCCATTCAGCCCACACTGGTAGTGCACTGGTTTTCATTACATGTTTGCATTACATGTGTTACTCGACTGCCAAACCGATCATTGTGATAATCTTAATGTAGAATGCATTAACATGCTCCCCTCAGGGGGCTGTTGCAGAACCAGAGGGGTAAACATGGGCTGTCCAGCAGAACCACCTTAGAGACTAAAACTGGTCAGTAAATCATCAGGAACCATGTTGACTTTGGTGAGCAACTTCCATTTACTAGGCAACGGTCAATGAGAGATTTTAGCAGAGACTCTCATAGTTGGGTAAGTCTTTGTGCTAGTTGGAGTATGATTCATTCGAGGGAAAATTTCTGAAAGCTGAAAGGACTTCAGCTTTCCCAGCGTTCTTGTCAATACAACATTGTTTCGTAATAATGCAAAAGAGCTGCTGGACATGCTTACGAAATGTAATGCCTTGCTGCCGATCATTTGGTTGCCTCAGGAATTCTTCCGCTCTCAAACAATCATTTCTTTTTCTACATAATCTATCTTATAATGATTTGCTATAGTCTGAAGAAATCAATCCGAAAAATCACAACTCCATAGAAAGATAAGTTATTTCAAAAAGTCGTCTCATTTGAGGAAATTTCCCCTTGAAGGGGGAATGATCAGACTGAAACGAAATTGAGTTTGTCTTTCTTCTTGTGTAATGCTAAGGCACAAGTGGTATAAATATTTTCTTCAAATTACTGACCTTTAAAGTCCAAAAAGTCTCAAAACAAACCTAGATGTTATTTTGGTGTCATGCGGCGGCATCTGTTCTCGTTAACAGGAAAGCAGAGAGTTTTCTCTGTAAGGTGCATTTCCCTGTGACGGCATAGAGCCCCCGCAGCACAATGCAGCATTGTGTATCCACCCTGGACTGAGCCTCGGTATGTACTGTTTGACATTTGTGGCATTCCCACTGAGTTTTACCGCGATTAGTCTTATCAACGTGAGACAGGCTGATGGAGGAAGATAAGGCCTTCATCAGCTTTTGAGACAAGCACAGGGCCTTTATGGAGAAAAATGCTCTCTGGAACACACATATTCCTTCAGAGCTTATTAGAAGGTCAGAGATTCTTCATGATAATGGGATCTGGAGACCAAATGGCAGCGCATTGTCCCAAGTATGAATAGCTTCCAGTCTAAGGAATGTTGATAAAAAAAAAACATACATCATCATCTTTTGGCACTAATTTTACTGTAGAAAAGTCACAGACATGTCAGTCCTGGGGTATGTTCATAGTTGTTCCTTCTCCTCTTTTCTTCACATTTTTCACTTCTGATACCGATATCTGAGATTTGGTATCGGCTAATACCGATCCGGTACAGAAAAACCAATGCACTGACTTGAAACATTTTTTCTTTTTCTTTTTTTTTTTTTAAAACACAGACATAAATGTACCAAATTACAAATTAATTTGATAACTCTGCAACAGTACAGCACACTTAAATACAACAATAGCTTCACAACTTTGGTCCAACATATAAAAACAACACAGCTTGAATTTGTTCAATCAGTGCAGTTAGGTGTAGAACAGCTGATGTAAAAATAAATAATGTAGAAACTGAAAATGACAAAAACAACAATGTTGAATACCTTGGTAAAACGTGAAAACAATAAACTGCAACAAACCTTCTTTCAAATGGTTCAGAAAGAGCAAATATGAATGATGACAATGTAAAATATAATGAGACACAGAGGGCGTTATTCATGGAACACATGCTGCCTGTGTCCCATGTGGCTTGTAGGGAAGTACTAACAGGACTACGTCTGAATCTCTTTCAGGGATCAATAGCGGTTTTTCTTTTACACGGCCAAACTTCTGTAGCGTTGTCCTGTGAACAGATTCTCCCACCTGAGCTGCACATCTCTACAGCTTCTCCAGAGCTACCCTGGGCCTCTCTGCTGCCTCTCTGATTAATGCTTCCCTGAATCAGCCTTTCAGTTTGGCGACATGAGAAGGAGAGCCAGCATGACCTTTGCTAAGCCAGTTAATTAATCCCCAAAGAGAGATGACATAACCTGCTCATCTCGTCAGTTCATGAAATCCAAGGAAAGCAAAACGGAAAACAAGTTATTGAAGGAAAAAAAACTAAAGTATGCGAATCTAATTTTGTTCTAATAAATGTGAAACGGTTGAGGACTTCAGGTTCTTCATGAAACACTTGGATTCACTCCCAGAACAGTTTGTAAAGGAAGGATCAGGCTAATTGGATCGATGAGAAGTTCTTCACCTATTCAGCCCGACAGTCTGAGACTAATGAAGCTCATGACCATCGACACACACACACACACTCACACACACACACACACACACACACAGCCCAGCCGGTGTGTGTTCATATGCTGACAGAGTTTGAGAAGTGCTGGAGACTTCTGTCCCCAACACATTCAGGTCGCAATGGGATGTTTCACTAAGGAAAGATGTCACTCATGATGACTGCATACTAAAATGCATCCAGTCTGTCACTTATTGTAGGAAACTGTAAGCAGCTCTGAGGTTTCAACATATAAATGATCTGGTCTGTTCCACCTTCCGATTAACAGAAACATTGATCAGCTGTGATCCAGCTGAGTGGATTCTTCCTGATGTCTTAGGACTTTAGAGGAACATGATCTGCACAATGTCAAAGATGAACAATATCAGCAATAGGCCTGCTGCTGCCAAACAACATGGGAAGGGTTGGAAGGTCACTTCCAAAGAATCTGAGGTCCAGATTGATAAAAATTCAGTCAGAAGTCAGACTGCTGTAAATGTCAGAGAAATTGCAAATGAAAACAAAAGCTCCATCCCATTCTTCAGTTAGCATGTTCAGTGTTGAAGTTCATAATAGAACCACCATTGGAAAAACATTTGAACCGGTACAGTTTGTTTGAATAGGCTACTGGTAGTAAGCCTTGTATTAAAATAAACGTGGATGCAAAAAGAAATGCAGCACATCAGCACAAACGGCACACCAACTGTCAGGCATCATTGTGGACGGATGAGGATTTGGTCTGGGACTTGTTCTCTTTAAGTTGATCATAAACTGAGTTGCATAAAAGTATTTTAGGTTCGGTGACTGTGTGAACACGGATCCTGTTCAGCGTCTGTTTCTGGCAATGTTGCTTCATGTTGTCTTTGGTGATCAGCCAGAGTCAACAGGGCAGGCTGCTATGAGATCAAGTTGACTTTTCACAACTTCAGTCTAGGTTTTAATAAAACATGACATTCTTTTTGAATGAACACAGTAGTTGTACCAATGTAATTTGATGCATTTTTAAAATCTTTTTTTTTTTTTTTTATGTCAGTTGGACTTAAGTAATTTGAGGATAGCGAGACGAGTCCTGGTGTCTTTTTGTTGTTCTGTACCTTTTGTACTTTTGGTTGATTTTCACCCACACTCATTGTGCCAACCTTTTATCAATACCTAACTCAAAATGGGGTTAGGGTGCAGCCAGGTGCTATTATTTAAACAGATAATGTCAGCTTATGTTATCCTCCAAGTTTATTTCAAATTCACAAAAAGCCTTTAGTGGAGTCTGGGAGTCTTACATTGCTGCTATAACAAACAAGCATAGATTTTCAGTTTGTTTTTTTGCTAACTGTAGCATAACCGTAACCACCTATGCAATGAAGATTCACACCAGCCTTGTTTTGTCCGCTTCAATCAAACTCTGGTTTGTTTGCCTAGAAAGATCAGTTTGTTTGGGGAGGTGTGGATGCCCAATCTCACCAAAAAAGCAAACTCTGGTCTGACTAAAAACCGACTTGGTTGAAGTGAATGCAGTTTGAATGTGTATGTGAACGCCGAGCAGACTGGAGATCACTCCAGAAGCAGGCTGCTGACAACAGTGCAGGGCATTCTGGGTAAATGCAATCAAAACAATCTGCTGAGTCTAGCGGTAGTGAGAGAAATGGCTTTTGGTCCTTCAACCTTTAAAATCTCACACTGCTCCATTTTTGTTTAAATCTCTTGAAGAAGGAGGTTGAGCTCTGTGTTTCCAGAGGTTTTTATGTTGCTTCCTTCAACGTAGCAAATGTTGCAATTTCTGTGCCCAGTCGAACTCAGTCTACCAGACTATCGGGTGTTCAGACGTCCTTATAGACAAATAAAAACCAGTCCTTCAGAGAGTTTCTGACATGGCGCTCTTCTGTCCACCACCCACCTCAAGAAATTCCCCAGCTCTTTGGCATCTGGTTTTGAAATCTGCCATCCGATCAGTTGAGCCAAATGGTTTTTCCTGGATGCTGAGGCCTTTCACCTAATGCATTTTAAATTTGACCAATCTGTACACGTTCATGGTTCCTTTGATGTCTGTCTGCAGGTCTTTTAAGCCAGACTTCGTCCTGATTCGCCAACACGCCTACAGCATGATTCCCGGCGAGGACTTCAGGAATGTTGTGATCGGCCTGCATTTCGGTGGCGTGCCGAGTGTCAACTCCCTCTTCTCTCTATATAATTTCTGCAGCAAACCTTGGGTGGTAAGCAGTCTTAAACAGCTCTCCCTGCTCTGTTTTAACCTCCATAGGGTGCTCAGACTTACCCTCTCAGCAGCTGCCTCTGGCTGATTTATAAGGGCCATTACATGGAGCAGGAACACCTGTGCCTGGAGCAGGAGGTCTTTGTCACTGTACTTATTAGTAGCTTTGTAGGAAATGAAAAGCCAGAAATCTCCGGTGAAAAACATGTAAATGCTTAGCTCTGTGTGGCTTCGTGAATGCGGTGTTGTCAGGTACAATTTGAGTTTAAAGTACGTTTCACCAGGACTGACACTTTTATGCTGTTTGGTCTGTAGAGGTACTTTTGCTTCACGTGGTGGTCAAATCACTGCGTAGTATTCCTAGAGTCTGGATCTGCCCGTACAAATCAATTACAATGAAAGATAAGTTCAACCCAATGCCTGTGTGGCGCCCAGTGTTTCTAGAAGGGATCATGGATGTTGCCTTAACACGCTGTTTGAACAACGGCTGGTAGAACCAGCTCTGACTGGGTGGACCTCAACCGTTTCAGTCCCATTTCCTTAAATTTTCAGACAATGAAAAGCTTTTATCCCAGTGCCAGACGGTAACTTCAAGATGAGCCATCAACCAGCTGACATCCTAATCATAAATGTCCTTAAGTATACAGCGCTAGCTCCATTGCTCTCTTACAGATTTCTGTTTCTAAATTTTTTTGTCACTCTTAGATCATCATGCTAATTTTATATCAGTTAACCTTCCTGCGGTTCTAAGAGACTGGGTCATTTGGACCCTGTGTGCGGTCTGGCAGGGTCGCATTGACCCCATGTTTTACAAGTTTTTTTGTTTTTTTTTGTGGTTTCGGGAACTGACTGCCGCACTCGTCCTGAGGGTCACCAAGACTGCAGGAGAGTGATAGAAAACCTTAGTAAAATACTGAATGTAATTTTGAACTGGTAATTTGAGTAGTTTTTTCACCTTATTAATGAAATCATCTAGTTTTGGACTTATTCATGTTATCTCCATCTGATTTTAAAGTATTTTTTTCATTAAAAAACAATATTTAAGGGTGAAGAAAGCTAAATTGAGAAATTTCTAAATGCTTTTTCATACAGCTGCAGGTTCTACCCAACACCTTTTGTCCTCTTGTTTATTTCTCTTCACAGTTTTCTCAAATGATTAAGCTCTACCACTCCCTCGGCCCTGAGAAGTTCCCCCTAAATGAACAAACCTTCTACCCAAACCACACACAAATGGTGAGTGATTTCTGAAGTTATTCCCTAGAAAACCACCTGAAACGCACAAGAGATCACAAAAAGCCTTGTTTGGTCCGTTTTTCATTGACTCTTTATTATAAAAATATAAAACACAGAAATTAAGTCAAACATTTATCTACCCTTACATGGTAACACCCCCACCCACCCCACACAATTCAGGAATCAGTGCTTACACACAGACTGTACACAGCTTTCTTGATTTCAGTTTTTCCTCTTTTTTTTCCATTTTAGTTTGAACTTGACCAATTGTTTCTGTGTTAAGCAGACAGTATATTTACACAAACAGAAACCACAGAAATAATGACACAGAAATGCCACAACTGGAGGAGGAACCCTATGGACACTAATGAAGACAATTCGGCCCACAAAAAAGACTTAAATTTGTGTTGCTTGAAGAAGTCGAGGCTTCTTATTTGCTAGCTATAATTAACAGTTGGTTAGCTTAGCTTAAGATTGTCAAGAAATTTGGGTAAAAGCTCTCGCAAGAATCTAAAGTTTTATTTAAATGTAATTGTTTAAAAAATGTTTTTTGCTTTATGTAAAAATTCGAGGCTAAATGTTGAAAAACAAATGGTTGCATTTTAGCTAACAGGTGTTAGCAAAGCTAATGTTTAGCATCATATCCAACTGGCAGAACTTGGTAATGTTGGTTCTTAGGCCTTCAATAGAAACTTTGCTGATTTTTAAAAAAAGGGTTGTTAATCCATTTGAGGCAAATCAGCATCCGCTAATGGAATGGACTGAAAGGAAGCTAACAAGAAAAAAAAAAAAAATCCAGACTGGAGCAGGTGAAGAAGAATGGTCTTAGTGACAATAAAATTACTATCTTTTTTATATATTTATATATAATGTTCATTTAAAATAGTTAAATACAAAAGATTGAATATACACTTAGAAAATATCTCATACTGTGAAACCTGTTTAAACTGAACTATCACCGGGTTGTTGAATAGTACCAGCCAAGGGAAATATGATCGAACAAATAAAAGTACCTTAAAATTTAAATGCGTGTCGTTCACACTGACTGATTTGATGTGTTGTACTTTTTTTTAATTCTGTCTTTGCATGTATACCAGGGTTACTGTGTAATCCAATAAACATAAATAAATGCATTATAGAGATTTCAGCATTTCTTTAGCTTATTTTTATATACAGCATAAAATAAAATATCACAACTCAAAAGAAAAAAGAACTCCTCCCTCTGTTGGCACTGAATCAGTGTTAACGTTTGATAATCTATGCACAACAAAGGAGGAAGAGTACGGGGCTGAGGTGCAACTGTAGGTGAGTTGCACTAGAAACATTCAGGGAAGCCGAGGTACAGCCGTGGTAAAGACGGATGCTGCAGTAAAACTCAACATGGCTGATCTGAATCTACATTTTCAGAATTTGAATCTAACAAGTATAATTCTGATCCCTCAATATTGGCACAAAATCATTATTGAGAAGTGTTTTGGCAGTGCTGCTAGCAGGTGTACGATTATGAACAGATTTCACCTCAATCTTTAATTTGGTGTGTGTTACTTTAGGAAGATGGTCTGTGTTATTGGCAAGATATCAAATCAGTAGATTAGCTGCTTAAAGTCGGTGCCACTTTTTCAATTTTACGATCCCAACTGAGGTTGATAATGGTCTTCCCGTATAAACGTCTGATAAACGTCTACTGTTTCTACCACGGATTAAAACACGATGGTAGCTGACTGAAGTAGGAAAACTTTACAAGTCTAAAGGGCAACCTTTACAACGACGCTTTGTTTTTTGTTTTTTTTTCTATCAGAAGTGCTACAGACAGGCACTGTATTATATCTGCTCTTTTCTGCCTTTTTAAAGAAGGCCGTCACGAGTCCAGTAAGAGGAATCCGAGATGGGGGACAGAAACGGGGCGGGAGAGCGTTGGTTTCTGGGCGTGGTGTGCCTGGAATCAGGGATCAGTGGCGTTGATGATGGTTTTATCGCGGGAGGTCATGCCTCGGTACCAGCTGCAGTAGCCCTCTTTCTGCTGGATGCAGGCGTAGTGTCGGGACTGGTAGCCGGGATAACCAAAGTGGGACAGCATGTCCGTCCACAGGCACTCGTTCTTCGAAGTCACGAAGCAGGGCAGGTAGTGGCAGGGCTTAATCTACCGATAGAGAAAAACACAACTAAATACGGAGGCCTGAAACAAACAAACTGGCAAGACCTATTCAAATAAAGCTCTTAAATAGAGAAAATTCATTCAAAAATTGCTTGGCATTTAAAACAATTAGGGTAAAAGAGAAACCACTAAAAATAGAACAATCTCTAAATCCATATGCTAAAGCTAGTTCTTTCAGGATGCTAGTGAATGTAGCATAGCAATGGAAGGCTTTCATTCTCATTTAAAACAGTAAATTTTAGTTTTTTTTTGTTTTTTTTCCTACTGTTCAGTCTATTTACAACTTCTGTTTTAAATATACAGACGGGGACAAGCTAGGCTCCTGCTGACAGGAATAAATAAAGGCTAACACACTTAGCATTAGAAAAATGGAGACCCCTCTCTTTCTTAATTTATTATTTATGACAGAGTTTCTAATTTAAACCCATTTCAATTTATCACACTAAGTCTTAAAATGTGAAAATGTTGCATATTAAACATGTTTGTGTCTCCACTGATCATAAAAGTTAAAACATCACAGAAGACTCCATGATTTTATGCTTTAGTAAAAATATTGACTCTCTGTAAATAATACCACAATTACTCAGATGTTTTTATTACTACTATTTTGTTAATAGTCAAATCATAACTAGATTATGAACCATTGTCTTTTTAAAATACATAATTGGGCCTAATTATTCACACTAAAAAAGCCAATATAATATAAATACATAACATTAGATGGTATCTTTTTCTTTAAAGCTGTTTATAAGCTCTTAGATCTTCCATGTTGGCTTTTTTAAAACACCTTAATCCTGATAAAATACAAATTCATCTTGTAAGTTTGCAGTCCAATCTATGTTGGTCATGTTTGAACATATCAAAGACTTTAATCATCACTCTGTCTTTGTTTGTAATAAGTAATACTTTAACTGGCATTAAGGAGGTTGGAATCGTTGAATGTTTGGAGAGGAAACCTTTACAAATGGATCCAAGTAGATTTTATGCATTTATATTTGCTATGAAGATGAAGAGACTGTAGAATGTGTCAATACAGTACACCATCAGAGAAAGTGAAAGACACTGGATTTCATGTAAGGAGTTAAAAGCAACTTCAGAATTGAATTCAGTAAAATATTCCGACATGTCCCATCTCATCTATCCAGCTGTGGTGATCAGGTGGTTCAGTAAAAGGAAACCGTTTAGAGAGCGGAGCTGCCAATTTCGCCCTGATGCTTGTGTGCTTTGTGCTGAGGAATGTGAAACGAAGCGTCTTCCTAATGCACTCAACTTTTGGGTAGTTTAAGGATTTAGTCGGGCTCCACTCTGCCTTGAAATGTGCGTCATTACGCCAGGTGCTTACACAAAAAAAAAAAGGGGGGGCGGGGGGGGAGGCGCTCCCCGAATGAATGAATGGCGCCGACTGACGGGAAGGATTCACACTGCCGCTCGTAGAGGTGATGAACAGAAAAAAGGCTAGATGTGGGGGGGGGGGAGTGAATCACTTGCTGCAAAGAGCTGCACTCGTCTCAGAAATGAATGCACCGGCAAATTCAGTCGACACATTTTAGAGAGAGAACTTCCCATTTTTGTTATTCAGTATTAAACCGTCATCAGAATGCTTGGTACGAGCGCTACGACTCATTTCCTGCTCATTAAAGGCAGTAAGTCAGAGGTGGAGCCAACATGGAACCATGTTCCATCATTCTCTGTCGTCTGTGGTCTGGGTGACAGGGCGGCTGCCGCCCTGACCCGCATGGCCAACAAAAGGCTCCCTCTGCTAATCCACTTATTGCTGATAGTGGCTGAGTGTGTTAGCAGATGTCCAGGACGGCGCCCAGCGGCAGGGTCAGCAGCTGCACGCTGCAGCCAGGAGAAGCTGGGAATGAAAACCGGAGCTGCTTCCAGGGCTGTTGATTAATTCCCAGCGATCGCAGTAAAACTGGCTCTTTTCTGCATTTCTGCCACTATTCAACATCCCTGAAATCTGCAAGTGGAAACTAGGCCGTAAAAATGTTCATAAAAATATCTTCATTTCTTGGCTTGTGGAGGTCAAACGGGTGATTTAATGGATGGAAACTGTGAAAGTGGCTCCATGAATACTAAATCTCCCCTCTAGTAGTGGCTAACGGAGTTTCCAGCCTGGCCTTCCGTCCTCCCTCCTGCTTGCTCGTCTCATTCCCGTCAGCTCTACGTGGTTTTCACTCACCCTGCAGTTGCAGCCCAGCTGGTAGCGGTGGTTGAAGCCCTTCTTCTGCGCCAGCGACAGTCGTTCCCACCGCTCGTTGAAGTTGCAGAGCCCCGTGTAAACTTTGTCGTCGTACACCCGACCTGGGGAGCAAAAGGGTGAAGGAGGTGAGCAAAGCGTTCCTCCAGAGATACAACCTCAAACCGCAAAGGATTTTATCAAAGTCAAGAAAACCGAGACATGTTTGGCATCAACTGCATGGGGAAATGCAGTTTAACGTGGTGTAAACCGAGACATCTTACAATGTCACCGCAGCAGGTGGGGATAAACAAAAAGGATTTAAAATGTTGTTTTGTGTTAACAATGTTTTGTTAACACAACATTAACACAAAATGATTTACAATCATCAATTGTAAATTGATGATTTACAATTTCTTTACCATTTTTGTCCATGTAACTGTGACTGCATGGACTTTTGAAGGTGACAAATTACATGAAGTGTTATTTGTAAATTTGTATCACCAACCTGCACATATTTTCAAATGCATTTCAATAATTAGAATTTAGCAATAAATTCAAATTCTTACAACTAGAAAACAACATAAAGGGGTGCACCGATAAATCAGCCCAGATAACCTTAATTTTTGGGAGATCTGACTGGTCAGTCAGCACAAAGGTTTGAGAATCAGTCACCAGGTCAAGTCTCCACATGCTCTGTTAACAACAACCCCACTGTTGTCCACTTGGCAAAGTTATCAATATATTTGATAAAGTTTTCAGACAAACAAAGAAAATAGTTCAAATCGAAATCTGTAAGTTGGGCTTTGTAAGGATCGGTGATCGCTGCACTCCAAACGATAAACTATGCAATAAATATCCACCCTAATACAGGCTCTTATTGCTGCTGTTATAAAAGTATATGCCTCCACACTTGGATAGTCAACATAGATTTAACTTTCAGATGAGATGTTCTATGAGAAAACCATGAAGGCTAGACTAAAGTTTACCAAAGAAAACATCGAGAAAGATCAGAGCCTCTGGAATAACTTTCACTGGACAGATGAGTTGAAAATGGACTTATATCTGTTAGTCCGGAACAAGCAAATGGCGTGTCTACTTACACACCTTAACTTACTTTAGGTAAGGTAAACTGTAAAGTGAGCTTTATAGTTCAGCTCATTTTTAATCTCCTGAATGTAAGTCAGGATTCTGCCAACATTTCTCTTCAGAATCCTGACTCGTTCACCAACAGAAAGACAATCCCATAATAAACCAACACCCCCATTTTGGAATATCTGGAGGTCATCAGATGTCTATGTTTAGCAGCGGACCACTTCCAGCGCTGTGAGCCCCCAGGAGCGACGATATTTGTCACCATTTGTCTCCTTCACAGTGCTGTCGGTAAGTGGCATTTCAACAGGTCACAAATTTGTCCCGTTTAGCCCGTCCTCTGAAGCTGCGGGACCGGACCGTGGAGTCGCAGTGAGTGCAACTCGCTCCTAAAACTCTAATCAGTACGGAGCCCCCTAAAGCCGGATCAAAGGAGGTTCCAATAGCTCATCCCGCAGGCCTCCATGTTCCAGCGGAGGCTATAGGCTCGACTTATTATAGCCGCCCCGAGGGCAGAGAGAGAGACATCCACTGATGTCACCCGTGACCGGACTGGGTAAACATAGCTGTAGTTGCCTGGCAACGCCGGCTCGTTGGCTTGCGGTGGAGTTACAGTATTTACAGGTTGGGGACTCACTGACACCTATATAAGTTGAGTGCTGCAGGGTCCAAAGTAAACAGCATCCTTGTTGGAAATAGCAACTCATAAAGTGCTTGTGTTGGAAAATGCCAGCCGCTTCCTGCTGGCTGGCAATTATAAGCTGTGAAGGAGAAAAAACTGCTGAGACGCAAAGGGAAGTCTTAAATAAAAAAAAAACGCCTCTGTACAGTAGCAAAGGGTCTAATAATAGAGGGAAAAGTTTTTGTCAGAAGACAAATGAAGTCCTGGGGGACAGGACGAGTGGGGGCCAAACTGTCGTCATGCCGGTAGCTGGACTCTGGAAGGAAAGCAGCTTTTCCTGGCAACACGGAGCCGACCAGAATGTTCTCTACATCTCACCGCGCTGAATGGATCTCATCTACTGGGGGGTGAACAGTGCAGAACTCCGTCATGTTTTTTTACATTACAACCAAATTCTTTGGTGCATTTTACTGAATTGAATAAAAATATTATGCCTTCATTCTATGAAATACTGCTCAAAGACGAGCTGCGTTTTCATGACAATTGTGTTGAAAAAACATAATTTCGCAATTTGCAGTGTTTCTATTAACCAAGAAATGCAATTACAGTCATACAAAATAAATTTGTTTATGCGACAAGTCATTAAAAAAACATGAAACGCCATAATCCTGCTACCACTTCCTGCCTGTCATTTTCTTTATGGTTTGCGCCACTGATAACATCTGGTCATTGATCATGTGACTCGTGTAATGCAAAAAAGGTTTTCCATTGCAATTTTGCAAAATGACTGAATTTCAATC